TGGAAGAGAGCTTAAAGCAGTATTAAACCAAAAAGCAAACATTTATCGTATTGCAGCTTATTAATATTTATATGTGATAGCTGCATTAGTTTTCTTTTTAAGGTTTTTTTTCGTTTATTTTTATCTGGTGATCCAGCAAGTAGGTCTATTTGTCAAGATATCAAATTCTCCTGCAGATGTAGCAGTTAGAGGATTGAGAAATAAACATTTACCACTGACAGAGGTGCTTAGAATGGCCAGCTTTTATTTATTCATTCATGTAAAAGTTTTATCCTAAAAGAAAAAAAAACTTGTTGTAACTGCAGTGTGTGCTGGAGTTTAGCTTCAATTTGTTCATGTGTCTAACACTCCTCTCCCCCTAGATTGACAATGCTGCTGTCCAAAGGTGTCTGTGTTGCTCCTTCATCCAGAGTGGGTTCACTCAAGAGGTGTGTTACTGACCAGATCACCAGGTGAAAAAGCTTAAAAAGAAAATGAATGCAGCCATCCAGGGGCGGACTGACAACTCATGGGGCCCCCGGACAATAGGGGATCATGGGGCCCCTGTGTCCTCGCCCACACTCAAACCACCCCAAAAAAGCCTATGAAAGGAACCAGGGGCATCACATGGGGCCCCCTACTGACCCTGGGCCCTCGGGCAGTGTCCTGGTGCTCGAATGGTCAGTCCGTCCTTGCGGTCATCACATCTAATGATTGGTAAGCTGCAACATATTGCATTTTTGGTTTTGGCCTCTTGCACACTACTGCCAAAATACTGAAGGATCCAGGGATACAGGTGCTTTTTTTTTACCTATCTAAATGCAGCCCATTGTTACAAGGTGTCTGCACACAAATGTGCATAAATATGTGCTGTGTGTACATGAGTAAAAAAATGCTGAAACCTGAGTTACTGGAGAGGTTAGAATTTATTTTGCTTTTGTATGCACATACCCACAAATATGTGCAAATTATACTCCTGAAATTTCGGCCAGAAATACTCATGTTCAAACATCAATAAACATCATTAAAATGTGCCTGAACTTTGCATATTATTAGTCGCAAGAAAATAATTTAGTCCTTTTAAAATTCCATTATTGTTTTTACGATCACTACTTCATGTAAAAGAATTCCAAGCTAAACCACTCCCTTAAAAAACTTGGTACTTGGATGACAACAAAGTGATTTTCCAAATTTTTATACCGGCGGTGAATATATGTTAACCAATAGCCGCCCGGCCAATAGCTGTTGTAGCATGCGCAGTTTTCGCGCTTGCAGAGTTGCGCAGCGGTGTGATCTGTCACCGGCCGTGTACCTCGGACATGGCTGATGACAGATCTGAGTACCGGCCCCTGTTGCAGGTACCATGTGACCTGCTGTGACCAATCACAGCAGGTCACATGACAGTTGTATACAATGGATGGCTTCATTCATGCCATCCATTGTATACTAGTGTCTAGCTGTGAATGGTCACAGCGATCACATGCACATGTCATGTGATTAGCTGTAGCCAAATCACAGCTAAGCACAAAAAAAAAAAAAAAAGCCTGAATGAATCGATGTCATTCAGATAAATGCTTGCTTATAGCAAAGTAATTCTTTGCTATAAGCAAATTGTGTAAAAAAAAAAAAAAAAAAAAAAAAAATACTGATCACTTTCCCAAAGTAGTACAATGTTACTATGGTAACATTGTACTGCTTTGGTCATAGTGAAATGTGAAAAAAAATCTTAAAAAAAAGAAAGAGAATGTAATAAAAAATGTAAAATAATAATAAAAAAAAAATATATATATATTTTTTCATATTGTCACCAGTCAGTGTCCCTGATCACCACCATGCCAGTTATATGATGATGCTGTACTGCACTGGTAACAGTATGTAAAAAAAATAGTGAAATTTTTTTTTTTTTAAATTTTCCGAAAAATTATGACAAAAAAAATACAACTTCAAAAAACTGGCCATGCCTCCTATGAAGTATGTCGGACTGTCTACTTTGCAAAAAGGGGTCATTTGGGGGATATCTGTACCGTTCTGACATTCTTGGACCTCAAGAAATTAGATTGGCTGTCAGTACTTCAGGATTGATCAATATTCAGATCTATACCATAGTTTGTGAACTCTATAACTTTCCTACAAACTAAAAAATACATCCTAATTTGGGTTATTTTCACCAAAGACATGTAGCAGAATACATCTCGGCCTAAATTTATGAAAAACAAACAACTGTGCAAACTTTTATAACAGAAACAAAGAAAAACGTGTTTTTTTTCAAAATGTTTTTTTGTTAATTTAGCAAAAAATAAAAACCTCGGTGGTGATTAAATACCACCAAAAGAAAGCTCTAGTTGTGTGAAGAAAATGATAACATTTTAATTTGGGTACAATGTTGTATGACCGCGCAATTGTCATTCAAAGTGTGAGAGCGCTGACTGAAACCAGAAAAATGGCCTGGGAGGTAAGGGGGTAAAAGTGCCCGGTATGGAATTGGTTAGCTTGCAAACTGAGTAGTCTTCTGAATAACTGCAAAACACCTTGCTGTTACAATTATTCCTACCCACATGGAAGAAAAATATATTTTTAAAACATTCTTCCCAAATATATTGACATATATTTGAAATGCTACAATTTTACAATTTTGGCCATATTCAATATATTTCACTATATATATATATATATATATATATATATATATATACTGTATATATATATATATATGTGTGTGTATATATATATATATATATATATATATATATATATAGATATATATAAAATCACAGCATGTTGAAATGCGTTTTTTATTACCAAATATATGAAAAATATTCTTAAAAATACATTTAAAATATACTGTATGTCTTTAAAGATACAAATCTACATTTCTGGAATGCATTTACAAATATATGTAAACATATATGTTAAAATGACTTTTTTATATGTTAAAAAAATCTGAAGAATATATTTAAAAAAATATATTTTTTTAAAATATATGATTTTTGAAAATATATTCTTCAGATTTTTTTAACATATAAAAAAGTCATTTTAACATATATTTGTAAATGCATTCCAAAAATGTAGATTTGTATTTTTAAAGACATTCAGTATATTTGAAATGTATTTTTAAAAATATTTTTCATGTATTTTGTAATAAAAATGCATTTCAACATGCAGTGTATATATTTATTGAAATATATTGAATATGGCCAAAATTGTAGCATTTCAAATATATATATCAATATATTTGAGAAAAATATTTTAAAAATATATTTCAAATATATTTTTCTTCCATATGGGTAAATCTTTCTTCAGTTCTGTTTTGCCCAAACGTATGTAATGTACAGAAGGCAATGCTATTTTGTGGTCTAGGTGCATAAGGTTACTTTTTGTAGGATTACATGTAATTCACCATTTAAATGCTCATTTTGATATGATCCTTCTGTAACATCAATATTATATTAGTCATGCATTGGAAAGAGCTGTAGATGCTTTCATACAAATAAACCCATTTGTGACTTGCACAGCACTACACATACAATATATCAGAATGTACCCACAATAGCTGTCAGTGTTGTCAGCAATAATAACTGAACATAGATTGGAGCAAGGTTATGCTTACAAAGAGCTGTAGTCACTTCAGGTTGACTTGTAAAGTATAAGCCTAGCAATACATACAGTACTTACTCCACTTTATCAAAATGTAGCCAAAATTGCTGTCACTGCTACCAGCATGAATGAGTCAATGTAACAAAGTGTAGTAAGTTGAAAGTTACAAAACTGTCAAGTTTGATTCATAGCACACAATATACTGCTCCTGCTGGTAAAGAGTAGATCTGTCGTTCTTCCTGCAATAGCAACAGTCTGGTAAAAGCAAGCTAAAATTAAGCCTCCAGAATAAATAGTAGTGATTTTGAAGGTAATATGCCATATACAGGAGCTCCTTCTCCTGTCCTGACCCTGGCTGGTGACAATGACAGATGTGTGGTATGGTTAGAGAAAAAAAGCCACCAGATGACTGACAAGTGAAGAAGGAGCTCCTGTCTCTGGCACATCTGGAGCAAAATGGTTACAGCACTATCTACCATATATCAGAGGTGCTCAGCCATGGCCCTTGGAGTCCTCTGATGTGGCCCTGAAACTGCATGCAGGAGTTTTGGTGTGCTTTCAGAAAGTGTACCACAACTGCAAGAATAGAAGACTATGGCAAAGTTCATCTAACCTGCAGGAAAAGCCACAACAAGTGCACTGCGCTGCGGGTAAAGCATAGCGCATGTGTGCAAAGCAGCCTTATGGGGGGCGAGGACAGTAAGGGCTTGTTTACATTTGCAGTTTGGGGGCAGTAAAACCCCATAGTTGAGACATGTTTTAACCACACACCCCCAACCACTAGTGTAGCGTCAGGGGGGTCACCCCGCCTCATGCTCCAGGGGGCCCCTGTGGACTTCCTGTCACATTCTGTTTTATAATTGGATAGTAGGGATGGTGGAGGCAGCATATACAGGAATCGATCCTCTCCATTTTCCTACTACAACTGCTGAAAACCGGCTTCTCCTCTTCCTTCTGCCGGCATTCAGCGGCTGCGGAAGTAAAATATTCATTATGCTATTCAAAATAAAAAATGTGAAATTCTGAACCATTTCCTTGCATTGTGGCCCGTGACTTGAAACCAAATCACTTAAATGGCCCTCGCTATTCAAAAGGTGGAGCACCCTTGATTTTTAGGCATTCTTTTTATTATTTTCATTTGGTGTTCTGGTTAGTATGCCTGTTGTTTTTCAAAAGAAAAAGTTCACCAGCAGAATGTATTAGTTACAGAGAAGACACAAACCATTTACCACTGACAGGGGTGCTTACAATGATCAGCTTTTATTTATGCATGTAAAACATTTGTTCCCAAAAGGGAAAAAATGAATTGCTGTAACTGCTTTTAAAAGTGTGTGTGCCCTATGGCCAGTCCTGGGCCTGATGAGCCCCAAAGCTGCACATATTTTTCAAAACATTCCACTGCAATGTAGTAGTACGAACTGCCATTATAGGTAGTGACCAGGGGCGGACTGACCATTCAGGTGCTTGGGCATGGCCCAAGGGCCCAGGGTCTGTAGGGGGCCCCATGAGATGCCCCTGGTACCTTTCATAGGCTTTTTTTGGTGTGGTTTGAGTGTGGGCGAGGACACAAGGGGCCCCATGATCCCCTATTGCCCGGGGGCCCCATGAGTTGTCAGTTCGCCCCTGGTAGTGACTATATTTCTTGCTTATGCATTGCGCCTGCGTTAGACAGGGCTGTCTAGGACAGCACAATGCATCTGGTATGAATCAGCTTCTAGTGCCCCATTCCCACCTGAGTGTTTAGTAGCCTAAAGCTTCAAATCACTCAGTGAGCTTAACACTTGAATCTCAAAACAGTACATGACTTACTATTGAAGCAGAATGGGGCATCTTTGGTTTCAATAAGAGAATGTGAAAAAAAACGTAAATAAAAATGTGTTATGCTCATTTTTCAGATGCTCCCAATTAAAGTTTATGAGGCCAAAAACCAGCAATCCTGTCCTTTAGGAGCTACTCTATGCCACTTTAGGATTAAAAAAAAATTCACAAATAAAAATTCCTGAGAATTGCCTACATATCAGTGTGAATGAGCCCCACAGCAGAGAATAGACTGACTTCAAGGATACAATTCTCTAATATGTGACAAAGACACTACAGGCTCTGCAATCATCAGATTAGTAACTTCTCTATACAATGCAATCACAGGTGTATAGAATCCCTGATCACCTACCCAGAGACATATCAGTCTTGATGCTGTCCTGGAGCTCTCCTACACTGGCTCCTCTTCCATGTACTCCATGGCTGACTATGCTCCAGCAGATCACACACAGGTGGAGGACAGCTCATCCTGCCCCATCCAGCCAGTGCAAGGTTTGGAAACACTGCTAGGGATGGAGGACGCCAAATAGGGACATACAAGAGCTGGGCTCACTGTCTGCCCGGTGGTGCACTTCATTCACTGTCATGGAGTGATTGGAGAAAACACACACTGCCCACCTATAGGGATCGCATCTTAGCAGACACAGCTGAGTGCGGTGCCGGCATTATGCTCCATTTCCATCTGTGCCATGTGTATGATGATGTACAGGGTGGGGGAGGGGAGAGAGACATGGCTGGGTGTCTGTCTGACCATCCATCCTTAAGACATGTGGCCCGGTCACCTGGCCCACTGGGCAAATGCCTGGTGTGCCCTATGGCCAGTCCAGGCCTGCCAATCACCATTGTAACTCCACATTCACATTCTTGTATATAATACTTGTGTAATTCAGGAGATCATAGCCTCTGCTAATTGGACAAAGGGGACTACTCCTGAATTTTCTGTCACAGTGCTTCCAGATAGAAGGGTCTTGGGCTTGCAAGTTGGACTGCCTCTTAAAGGATAAGCAGGGGTGGACTGACCATTCGAGCACTCGGGCACTGCCCGAGGGCCCGGGGTCAGTAGGGGGCCCCATGAGATGCCCCTGGTAATTTTCATTGGATTTTTCATAGGCTTTTTTGGGTGTTAGTGAGGATACAGGGGCCCCATGATCCCCTATTGCCCAGGGGCCCCATGAGTTGTCAGTCCGCCCCTGAGGATAAGTTAACCTTTTAACAAAAATAATACACACACTTTTTTTGCAAGTAAAAAAAATGTGCGTTTACTATTTTTTGTTTTGGGAGCCTGGAAAGCATTACACCAGCAATCAGCAGATTGCAGGTGCCATGCAGGACTCCTGCAGACCTGTCAGTGTATTTGTGTGCTCATATCTCATACAGGCAAATACACTCTGACATGAAGAGACAATGAACTACCACAGTACTCAACAGCACCATGGTATTTCATTGAGAATTGCAAGCCGACAGCAGCAAAGGCTGTCAAAACGTATAGTTTTTCCCAATAACAGAACTCTGTGAATGAGTGACACAACCACTTTTTAAAAATAAATTGTGACAGCTAACAGGGGGGGGGGGGGGGGGGTGAAGATACCAGGAATAGGGGGGGGGAGCGGGGACCTGTCCTTTTGTAACATGTTACATGTTGCACCCCGAATATGTTGAAAAGGTGGACTTATCTTTTAAGAATACTTTAGTCTCCAGGCTGTTGCATTTACAGTACTTGAAGCATGCAATAATGCAAGTACAGCCCTTGAATGCATTTGCAAATGTTGAATTGAAAACTCAGATGAATAAACGGACATGAGAAGATGGAATACTCACGTTCATTCCAGGGCTCCTATAGCTTTTCCTGCTGACTGTTGCTGGGTGGGGTTCAAAAACCAGGAACAAACAGCTACTACTGGAGCAATTCTTCCACAAAAGAAGAAGTTCTTCTGTTGTTCTCTTTCAGCTATTCGAATTCAGCATAGGACACTTTAAGGCACACAGCCTGCTTTGGCTTTGTTTTTCAAGAAACAACAAGAAAAGAAGTGTAGCACTACCCCTGTAGGAGCAGCGTGTATTTTTACCCAGGTCTCCCCTTTGTTGCACCCCCAACCAGGCACAAAGTATTTTCCACAGTCAGGTGTACACATACAGTCAGGTCCATAAATATTGGGACATTGACACAATTCTAACATTTGTGGCTCTATGCACCACCACAATGGATTTGAAATGAAATGAACAATATGTGCTTTAACTGCAGACTGTCAGCTTTAATTTGAGGGTGAACAGTGTAGGAATTACAACAGTTTGCATATGTGCCTCCCACTTGTTAAGGGACCAAAAGTAATGGGACAGAATAATAATCATAAATCAAACTTTCACTTTTTAATACTTGGTTGCAAATCCTTTGCAGTCAATTACAGCTTGAAGTCTGGAACGCATAGACATCACCAGACGCTGGGTTTAATCCCTGGTGATGCTCTGCCAGGCCTCTCCTGCAACTGTCTTCAGTTCCTGCTTGTTCTTGGGGCATTTTCCCTTCAGTTTTGTCTTCAGCAAGTGAAATGCATGCTCAATTGGATTCAGGTCAGGTGAATGACTTGGCCCCCACAGCAGCAATGGTTGGACAAGTTCTTCAGAACACCAGCCATTGTTCCCTTTTCTCAGACCCATGCTGACTAGCAAGCACCAGAGGGATAGCCAAGCACACAGAGTCTCCAAGATCTTTCCATGTCTGTACTCACAAGTCCAAGAACAGAATGGCAGCCTCCTTCCAATCTTTCAAGCAACTCTTTCCAGTGATACCAGACAGATCTTTGGCAGACAGCTTCCCTCAGTCAGCCTACTGTAGAACCAGGGTCACTCTTTCTAATTTCAGGCCCTCAGGTTGCCCACCTGAGGCCGAATGGCAGCAGTTGCCAGGTGAGGCAAGCCTGTCACCAGCCTCGGCTTGGTGACATGCTCTCCAGGGAAAAATGCTGAACTCATGTGCTCACACAACATAAATACCTCTCTCAGCATAAAATGGAGCCACCTTCCCATGCAACTGGCCAGGGCTGTATCCATATTTAAGCTGTTCATTTGCTTAGCCCCTACCTATGTTCTAGAAGGCTCTCATAGCTTCCTGAAGGCAGGTGAAGCTCAAAACAAACTTAAACAGCATCAGAGCTTCACAAGCAGACCTGACTAATCAGTTACAGTGCTCTGTTAAGCAGAATACCAAACTGAATTTACCGAACAGCCTCCCTGTTAAGCAGAGAAACACAGCTATACCTTTCCGAATAATACAGATCCTAGTACCTATCTAGGAGGGTGCTACAGAAGTTATACTCTGGATTCAGCAAGAGAAACATATAAACCCTTACAAAACTATAATTTACCAGAATATAGTATATTAGAATGTAAGCACCTACTTGATCAGGCATTGGGGGAATGGTATTATCTGTACACAACATTGATCTTATTCTATAAGGAACACTTTAATTCCTCTTAGTTTTATCACCTCCTTATCTGATAATCAATCACATCATCAAAGTGGAACTAGATAGCTCAGCAAATCTGATGGAACAAACCCTTAACTCCCTAGGTTGCCTATTTAACGTATATTGGTCATGTGCAGATGTATGGAATTTTTTGATGCAATGATTTTGTATTGAGTGTAAGAAAGAGAAAGTGAAAACAGTTGGATGTCAGTCTATCATTTGTGACATTCCAGTAGTTTAACAAGTGAATAGATGTGTGGAACGTAAGAATTTGGAATGACTAATAACACTAAAGTAGTGATGCTTAATCACACAAGTGCAGGGGTTACGCCAGACGTCTTATGTTTTAGATGCATTAACCCTCTACTCCCATGTTTACCAATGCCACATTAAAGTGATCATTATATGAATATATATTTTACTACATACTATGGACATACTATAACAATCTCTTTGGTGCAGCAAGGGTGAATATGGGAGTAGAATATTAATACTTATAAATCAGGAGTCATTTGGTTCAATTCATCATTACGGCTTCACCCCTGCACCCTTGTAATTGAGCATCACTTCACCATTATTATTAGCCATTCCAATTGCTAAAGTTCCATACATCTGCAAATGACCCATGGATACTGAAATAAACTAAGGAGCCAATCAAGGAAGTCAAAGGTTCATTCAATCAGACTTACTAAACTATCTAGTTCTACTTGGATTCTAAGACCTATTATGAGATGCCAACCTACCACTAGCAGAAACATTTAGGAAACTTTGCAGCAAAGAATCTTTTTGGATCTAGACCCTTAGCATATTACCCCTTATGGAACTTAAAAAGGAATAGGACATTAATACTGATTTATAATACAATTGTTTTACTAATGTTAATTTTATTTGTTCTCCCTGTCTGCCTTTTTGTTACAAAGTACACTCCTGCTTCTACTGTTACAAAGTTACATCACCTTTGTATCTATCTAGTCCCAGTCACTTCCATGCAATTTAATCATGTCAAATACAATATCTATCTTATCTATCTATCTATACATACATACACAGTATTCTTATACAATATATTACCAAAAGTATTGGGACGCCTGCTTTTACACACACACAAACTTTAATGGCGTCCCAGTCTTAGTCCAATGGGTTCAATATTGAGCTGGCCCTCCCTTTGCAGCTATAACAGCTTCAACTCTTCTGGGAAGGGTGTCCACAAGGTTTAGGAGTGTGTCTATAGGAAAGTTTGACCATTCTTCCAGAAGCACATTTGTGAGGTCAGGCACTGATGTAGGACGAGAAGGCCTGGCTCACAATCTCTGCTCTAATTCATCCAAAAGGTGTTCTATCTGGTTGAGGTCAGAACTCTGTGCAGGCCAGTCAAGTTCCTCCACCCCAAACTCGCTCATCCATGTCTTTATGGACCTTGCTTTGTGCACTGGTGCGCAGT